TTGCAGCAGCTGGACTGGCAGCAGCAGGGCTTGCAGCAGCTGGACAGGCAACAGCTTGATTTGCAGCCCCCACAGGAGCCACAGCCACCCTTGGAGCACCCACAGGACCCACAGCCACCCTTGCAGCCTCCACAAGAGCCACAGCTCCCTTTGCCACAGCTAGAGCAGGAACAGGCTGGCACACAGCAGCACACAGGCTTGCAGCAACACACAGGCTTGCAACAGCAACTGGAGCCACAACCCCCACAGCTGGAGCTACAGCCACAGCCACCACAGCTGGAGCCACAGCCTCCAGAACAACCACAGCAGCCCATGGTACAGGAGATGGAGGTGGAGAGGTCAGAGGAGCAGGGGCTGAGGGAGGTGTGCAGGTGTGGAGCCACCTGGGCCTGGCAGCTTATATACCCTGGCAGGTCAGGTGTGAGGCTGACATGTGGTCACTTCCTCACTGTTGTTTATATCTGTTTCTGACCTTTGCTCCCTTGTGTCCCCTTCTTCCCTCCTCCTTGCTGTTGGGGCTCACCTGCCGTGGGTACCATGTGGTCTCTTCCTGGTTTTGGCTGCAGGGCTGTCTCCCGCAGCCACAGGGGCCCAAGTCTTGTTCAGACACTGCTCTGCAGCGTGTCCAGGATTCATGGGTGTGCTTGTGGCAGGCGAGGGCCTGGTCTCAGGTCGGAGCTCGTACACAGTCCTGCCTGTGCCCCTCACTCCCTCGGTGGAGGCAGCAGCTGGGGAAATGTGTGCTCGGGGAAATGTGTGAAGGTTTGTATCGTCCCTATCTTCACCAACTTTTGTTACTGTCTTCCTTTCGGGTTATGGCCGTTCTAGCACAGGAAGTGTGGTGTCATTTTAGTTGTCACTTCTATGTCAAGCATCTTTTCACATGGCATTACTCTTTAATGTGTCCTCTTTGGGAAAATAGCAATTGCCCATTTGTATTGTGTTGTTTGTGGGGTTTTTTTCTTTATTCTAGATATTTCTTCACATGCCTTTTACCCTGCATTATCTGCACTGTCACCTTTTGGAATTCTGACTGGATGTGTATTAGACTGTCTCTCTGATCCTGACTTGGATACAAGAAGTAATCAACATATATGGTGAATGTTTAATTTAAAAGAATTTATAACAGAAAAAAAGACAGGATGCCATAAATCTTTCTCAAGACACTTCCCCTTACTTCAGACACACTTATCCCATCATTCTTGCCACTTTTGGAGTAATTCTGGAAGTTCTTTTTCACAAGTGTCTTTATAAGGTGTGAGGAAAAATGTGGTGAACACTGCTGTGAAGTGCTACCCAACAGAAAAGCAGGGTCATAAAAGCGTTACAATGTGTCCTCATCTGCTTTATCCACTGGGTGCCCATGCCAACCAGCAGAACATGGCAGGCAGGTGAGGGGAGAGAAGTCCCACAGACTCCTAAAGGAAAGATCAGGAGTTGAGGATAGTGAGCTCAGAAAAAGGAAAAGAAGGGAAACTTGCAGCAACTCCATACCTGGAAGAGGAGCAACGATAGCACCTCTGGTCTTGGACACCTGAGAGCAATGACCCTCAAGAGATGCACCAGGACCAGTACGCAGATCACAGCAGCAAGAGAGACTAAGAAATCCAGGGAATGAGTCTCCTCAGGGAGCTGGATTACGCAGAACACTGGGCAAGGTGCAGAGAAGTTGCTCTGGAACTCTCTGCTCAAGATGATAGAGAACATGAATTGATCATACTAAACTTGGAAAAGAACCAGGAGAATTCAAATATGACAAGTAGACATAAGCATTGGAATGAAGAAAACATTTAAAAACTCACCACCATGTGAGAACTTCTGCAGCAGCCATAGACACCCAGGCTGTGCAAGACAGAGGCAGGGACAGAGAAGAAATTCACCCGTATCCCAGGGTCACCAAATCAGGAAGAGCAAGGCCTGAGGGTTTAGAGAGCAGAGCAGTGTTAAGTAGGAAGTATGTCATGGGGTAAAGTACTGTTTGTGTGGCTTTACATTGACACACATTTCACTGGCAATAAAGCACAAATAGAAATCAGGAAGTGACCATGTACCCAGAAGTACCTGGCCAGGTATATAAGTCGCCAGGCCCAGGTGTCTCCACACCTGCACACCTCCTTCAACCCCTGCTCTTCTGACCTCTCCACCTCCATCTCCTGTACCATGGGCTGCTGTGGCTGTTCCGGAGGCTGTGGCTCCAGCTGTGGGGGCTGTGGGAGCTGTGGCTCCACTTGCTGCTGCAAGCCCGTGTGCTGCTGCAAGCCCGTGTGCTGCTGTGTGCCAGCCTGTTCCTGCTCCAGCTGTGGCAAAGGAAGTTGTGGCTCCTGTGGCTGCTCTAAGGGAGGCTGTTCCTCCTGTGGGGGCTGTAAGAGCAGCTGCTGCAAGCCCTGCTGCTGCGAGTCCAGCTGCTGCAAACCCTGCTGCTGTGAGTCCAGCTGCTGCAAGCCCTGCTGCTGCGAGTCCAGCTGCTGCAAACCCTGCTGCTGTGAGTCCAGCTGCTGCAAGCCCTGCTGCTGCGAATCCAGCTGCTGCAAGCCCTGCTGCTGCCAATCCAGCTGCTGCAAGCCCTGCTGCTGCCAGTCCAGCTGCTGCAAGCCCTGCTGTCGTGAGTCCAGCTGCTGCAAGCCCTGCTGCTGCGAATCCAGCTGCTGCAAGCCCTGTTGCTGCCAGTCCAGCTGCTGCAAGCCCTGCTGTTGCAAGTCCAGCTGCTGCAAGCCCTGCTGTTGCGAGTCCAGTTGCTGCAAACCCTGTTGCTGCGAATCCAGCTGCTGCAAGCCCTGCTGCTGCCAGTCCAGCTGCTGTGTCCCTGTGTGCTGCCAGTGCAAGGTCTGAATTTCTGACTCTAGAACCCCAGTGGCTCCCAAACATGCAAAACATTTGCCTCTTGCCATAGCCATACCCCACATTTCTGTACCTGCTGAGCCCTCCTTAGCTGTCTCTCTGCTGTGGCCGCTTCCTGCCTTCTTTTTTGGGTGGTTTTTTTTTTGGCGGGGGGCAGTTTCCAGTACTGGGAATCGAACTCATGACCTTGCGCTTGCCAGGCAGGCACTGTGCCACTGAGCTAAATCCCCAACCCCACTTCCTGCCTTCTGAAAGACGGCCACTCTCCTGCCTCTCTGGCAAACTTGATGTCTTACACCTCATCCACTTTGACCAGTACTGTTCTTTCCATGCCCTCCTCAACAATCACTGTCCTCTTGCCTCCTGGGTCAAAGCCCATCCCCCTTTCCCCTGAGCAGTTCTGGGCTGAGCCTGCTGAATCCCCAAAGTCCCTGGAGGTGGGGACAGTCCCAATTTCCGAGCAGCACAGTTTCCATCAACATGGCCACCACACCCCATGACCTCCCTGGACCCTGTCCCTGCCACATTCAGAGATATGGAGCAGAGGTATGGAGTGGATCTAGTGACAGCTCAAAAGAAACAGATGCCTGAAATGAACCACTAAGTCAATAATTCAATAAAGATAAATATGCCCTTCCCAAAAACTCTGTCTCCCTGGTGCTTCTTTAACACACATTCCAATGGGGAAAGCACACATATCCAATGGGGAAAGCACACACATATGTGGTGGGGTGAACACAGGCAGAAAATCTTTGCTTGCTCACTAGGGCCACTGTACCCACTACAGTTTCACAAGTGTCACTGCAGTCTCCCCTTCACTGGGGACGTTACCTAGTGTGAGATCCAAAATACAAAATGGGTTAACATGCACATAATTTAAAATGTAGAGAAGAAAAAAATAGTGGCAGAAGAAATAGTGGCTAAGAATTTTTCAGAATTAGTAATAGACATCAATCCACAAATTCAAGAATCTCAGACAAAAAGGACTACAACTCAATGGGCCATAATCAGAATCCTGAAGCCAAAGCCAGAGAAAGATACACATTTTCTACCATAAAGAAAGAATAAGATCTACAGCAGATTTTTCATCACAAATTATGCAAGCAAGAAGTCAATGGAATGATATCTTTAAAATGTTGAAATAAGCCAGGTGTGGTGGCACATGCCTATAACTCCAGCACTTGTAGGGTGAGGCAGAAGGTTCACAAGTTGAAGTCCCACCTGGGAAGCTTAGTGACTTAGTACAACCATGCCTCAAAATAAAAGCAAATAGATAAAAATAAAAAGGACAAGGGATGTAGCTCAGTGGTAGCACCTCCCTGGGTTCAATCTATAGTATCAGTAAAAATTTTTGAACTAAAAAAGTCAACCTAGAATTCCATCTACTGCAAAACACTTTTCAAAAATGAAGATGAACAAAGATATTCTCAGATAAACAAAAACTAAAGGAACTCATTTTCAGCTGACCTACAACATAAGTATGAAAATTTGATAATTTCTAAAGCAGATAGTAGTAATGATATGTTGTATGTTTATAGCATGTGTACCAGTAAGATATATGATAGCAGAACAAAGGTTGTGTTGTGGTAATCAGAACATCTTAACACTAAATGTGAAGTGGTTACTATTTGGGTGGGCCTTGGGTTATTTATAAATATGGTTACTCTGCAGAGGTGGATGTACCTCATCCATCTGCTAAAATCCAGCTCAATTTTCAGCACCATTGACACCTCACACATGGCAAGAGGGCATGACAGGCTTTATTATTGAAAAATGAGGATTTATGGGGAGATTGGTGCTCCCAAGAGATCCAAAGATGGATTGAGAGAGAAGGGGAGGATGGCCCACTTGGAGTTACATGGTGATGAGGAGGGAAAGTAGCATGAGCGCTTCTACAAACAGCCATGACATGATTAGGAAATTCCACCAGTGCCAAATGGACTCTCCATGGAATCCTCATCAGGCTGCCCAGATGTGGAAGAGATGGAAGGGTATGTCTTTTTTTTTTTTTTCTGTCTTTTCTGAGACAGGGTCTCACTGTGCAGTTCAGGCTGGCCTTGAGCTCACTTTGTAGCCCAGGCTGGTCTCAAACTCGCAATGATCCTCCTGCCTCAGTCTCCTGAGTGCTGGGATTACAGGCGTGAGCCACCATGCCTGGCAGAAGAGTGTGTCTTGAAAGCTCTGAATATTTGAATGGAGAACCAGACTTTAGTACAAACTACAACTAAAAGTATTTAGAAGGGTTATAATAAGTCAGTACAAGAGAAAAAAATATCATCTTAAGAATGTTAAATTATACCAAGAAAATGCTATACAGCCTTAGGAGAGCTGATAGCCTTTCCCCTTAATATAAACCACAAACACATACCCCGTTTTCCCTTCATTACCTGGCTTCTAGGAACATCAGATTTTTTTTTTTTTTTTTTTTTTTGTGCTGGGGATCACTCCCTATGCAGTTCACGCTGGCCTTGCGGTCTCTACCACTGAGCCACATCCTCAGCCCTAGGAACATCAGATTCTAACGT